ATCTCCTGTCCTGTGCAAACTGACTGACTGACTGACTGACTGAACTGAACTGAACTGAATCTCAAGGTCATATAGGGTGCTCGGAGTCGCCTGTTCGGCATGCGCCCCCTCAAGGATGCCGAGCTACAAAAAGTCACAGAGAAACTATGTAAATAGTAAGCTCACCACTGTTTCGTTGTTTTATTCGTTAAAGCATCAAAGATGTTTCTGTGCTTCTCGATAGAGATGATGAAAAATATTGTTTCATGCTCCATCGAGACAGAGTATTCTATTCCAGGTTTGTTTATGGTTGGCTGTTGCAATAATTTGGTAGAACGTCCCTTGCAAAGCATGCTGCTACAATTACTAAGAAACATATCGTCAGCTTTGGCACATGCATCGGTCGCTTTTCGAAATCTGGACAATTCAAGATACATATAACAGCCCTGGACTATTTAGCTCCATATGCTAAATACCGCGTCTGGCTAAAACCGCCTGCAGAACAACAATTTCTCTACGGTCAGCATGTTTTGAAATCGGGCCTTGCCCGGATTTCCGAGGACACCCCACAATACGCTGGTGTAGTTGTCATGAATATGAATGACGTTCCAATAGTAAGTTTTTCTCTTATTGCAGAACTACTATTATATCTAACAGGGATTTGGTGCTACTGCAAAGTCCACATTGCAGTCCAAAAATACCGATCCAATGACCATAGTCGTTTTCCATCAGGCTGATGTGGGAGAATATATCCGCAGCGAGGACACACTGTTGTAAATGGATTGTTGTAAGATTTGTAAAAAGTAAAAATATTCAAGCTCTTTTCGTTTTTTGTCTCGCTGTTAGTGAGTTTTCTGGCATGAATATTTTGTCAGAAGTTCCTGTTACACACGTTAATGCTAAATAGTGCAATAGGTGGAGCCCATAGTCAGAAATTTGTTGATCGGTAACGAACCTCGCCCCCTGTAACCCATATCTGTTGCAGTAGACATTTGAATGGATTCCAGCTAGGTCAAAAGTATGTACCGACTAGTGCATTCGTTAAGTAACCCCAAACGGGGAACTAATGTAAGCGATTTGAAATGAGAACGAATACATCGACTTTTTCAATTCAAGCCAATTTTCTGGACCGTGTGAATTGTCCGGTTTCGGTGCTAATCCCTTAGGGATGAAATTCCAAGTAGGCTTTTCGTTAAGCTAGAAGGATTTAAAGATGTAACTTGGCTTTTCTGTTGGTAACGTAACATCGTCTCGTCTGCTCTGTCCTCTTGGATAGTAGCAGCAGGAGACCTAGAAACAACAGGAAATATGGAGGCAAACACGACGGACCGCACGGTGTCCAGTTGCGGTAATGCTGATTAGACCGGGAACTCGGGTGCTTACCCTGTGTGACATACTGGAGGAAAGTAAACGTGTTACAAGCATTCTGAAAGGTAGTTTCTCTGTTCAGTTCTAAGCATGGGTCAACTATGTATACCCAATCACTTGAGTGACATCGTCCATAGGTGTTTCTCTTTTAACTGTTAACCAAGTTCGTCGTGAAGTAAAACAACTGCATTGGAAGGTGCACAAACTAGATTTTGATCATGGTGACTTTGTACGTTGACGTGCGAGTAGGTGATTTTGCCACGATTTCTGTTTTGATTTTGTTTGTCCTCACTCATCCACTCTAGTGGTGCTTTTCTGTGGCTAGCTCCCTCTTGGAGAGGAACCGGCTTCGTGGATATTACTGATAGCTGTCCACATACGACGATCGCAGATAATTTAGTTACGGTTCTGGCGTCGTTAGCCTTAATTTGTAAGACTTGGCATTCAACAATGACACTGATGGGCTGAATTTTGCCTGTCCACCATAGTGGTCGTGCCAGCTTCAGCACAAAGCACGCTGTCTCACGAGCTCCTCATCTAAATGACGTAGAACCTAGCGAAAACGTTTTCTATTGCACGCTTGTGTGATAAACAACGGACAGTAAAACAGCCATCAGGGTCCATTGTTGTTTACGGCGGCTGGCTCCTGGGAGAAGATAAGCTGACTTCATGGATATCCCGAATTGCCGCTGCTCACGCCCGGCGACTTACGGCAAGATCAACGCAGATTGTGCTCCAGCTTGACTTCCATTGGCGAACGTCGTAGATGGAACGGAGACCAAGGTTTTCTGTGTCCATGTACCATGTCAAGCCAGGTTTTGGGCTGCCCACCGGTTCGGGCAGGGAGGCGGTGCCAAGGTAGACTTACGAAATATGTGACCAAACCATTGTAGTCGCCGCCGTTGTATTACAGTCCGCAGCCATATGAGATTAAAACACCGATTTCTGACCGCTTCATTTGAGATCTGATCCCTCCGTCGTACTCCCAGAATGATTCCTAAGCATCAGTGATCGGAGACTTCTAATCGTCAACAGTTTTGGCCAGGTTTCACAGTCCTATAGCAAGACAGAACGGACTGCTGTGGAAAAAACTCGGATTTTTGTCTCGAGGCTGATTTCATTTCTGTGCCAAAGGGAATTCTTCAGCTACAAAAACGCCTTTCTTGCAGCATTGACGCGCACTTGCACCTCGTCTTTAGTTTGACCGTTGTAGAGTATGGTAAGTATTTAAGGTTTTCGACGGATTCCATCGGCTCGCTGTTTAGTAGCATTTTCGGGATAAATGGGGACTGTCGCAAATGTTTTGATGTTTTCACCTCTAGGCCGATTTTGGAGGCCTGTCGACTGATGTGGTCAACGGTTACTTGGAGGTTGGACATGTCCCCGCCAAAGACGACAATATCATCAGCGAATTCTAAGTCAGTGAGCCATAAGTCCGAAGTGATCTAAAGTCCCGGGTATCCTTCCATCGAACGACCCATTATCCAGTCAACGGCAAAGTTGAACAGCATTGAGGACAATGGGCACTCCTGTCACACTCCAGATTCTAACTCAAATGCACATGACTCCTTGCCTT